CGCGCCCCGTTGGGCTCTGCCGAGCAACGCGCCCGGTTGGGGGGGGCCATTTTGGCCCCCCCCCTAAGATCTCGAGAACCACGCAACATAGCGACAAGCGGTAAACGGCGTTGGATAGCCCCAACGGGGAACTACCTTGTGACCCAATTTTATTGACCTAGGTCAAACCGATGACGTCACAGGTCAGGTCAAAGGTCCAATTTTCACCGTTTACAGGCACTTCAAGAAATGCGTTGTAAAATCGAGTAAAATGCATTTCATTGGAAATCATCGATGGGGAAATGTTGTTCAAACGCATATTTTGCTATTTGAGGTCACTGATACCAGGTCAGGTCACAGAGGTCAGGTCACGGGGGGTCACAATATGAAAGTGTCGTGTGATACATGTTTTATGGTCCATTTTACATGACAAATGCGATTATATGGGTCAGGCAGCCTTTGGGGCCAGCTTAGATCACGTTTTGGTCAAGGTCAGGTCAAGGTCAGGTCAAGGTCAGGTCAAATTAGGTCAAATTTCAAAGTTAATATTTTTGCATAAAATGGGTATCGAATCGATGCAGCTCGTCACGGGGAGTTCAATGGTGGTCTTTGTTTTGCCGTACGTGGTCTAAAATCGCTAAAAATTGAGTTCAAAAATTTGACGTCATCATTTTTGAACAGTTTTTTCGCTATAACTTGGCCAAAAAACGAGATATCGATCTGAAATTTGGTATGTATATAGAAGAGCGCTGGGACTATCACATATATTCCGGTTTTTTCGAAATTCGGAAAAATTTTGGATTTTTTCAAAGTTTTTCTAAAAAAATCAATTTTTTGATTTTTTTTTGGTCAAAAACCAAAAATTTTGAAAATCCGAGATAGCAGTTTTGTAGCGCCGCATTTCGTCTACTAGACCATATAAAGAACTTTGAAATTGCTTGATAACTGTAGATTTGGTGAGCGTTTCAAGATTGCATGTTTTTTGCTCATTTTTGCTCGAACATGACCTCAGTTTGACCTCAATAACTCCTGACCTAAGGTGACCTAAGACTTGAAATTTGGTGTGAAGGTGTCAAATTGATGCCCGGGAAGGTACTGAAAATTTGGCGGCGCTGCGCGCCGCCGTTTTCTTGCTATTTAGGAAAAACCACAGGGGGGGGGGCCAAAATGCCCCCCCCCCAACGGGGCGAGGGTTAATTAACAAGCAATTTTAAAGTTCTTTATGTGGTTGTGTAGAGAAAAGACGGCGCTACAAAACTGCTATCTCGGATTATCGAAATAATTTTGGGATTTTGACCAAAAAAAAAAAAAATAAAAAAATGATTTTTTTAGAAAACTCAAAATTTTTTTCGAATTTCTAAAAAACCGGAATATATGTGATAGTCCCTGCGCTCTTCGATATACATACCAATTTTAGATCGATACCTTTTTTTGGCCAAGTTATAGCGAAAAAACTGTTAAAAATTGATGACGTCAATTTTTTGAACTCAATTTTTAGCAATTCTAGAGCTCGTAGCGCAAAACGGAGACCACCATTGAACTCCCCGTGACGAGCTGCATCGAATCGATACCCATTTTATGCAAAATATCAACTTTGAAATTTGACCTGACCTTGACCTTACCTTGACCTGACCTTGACCTGACCTTGACCTGACCTTGACCTGACCTTGACCTGACCTTGACCAAAACGTGACCTAAGCTGGCCCTATCGTCTGCCTGACCCACATAATCGCATTTGTCATGTAAAATGGACCATAAAGCATGTATCACACGACACTTTCATATTGTAACCCCCCCCCCCAGTGACCTGACCTCTGTGACCTGACCTGGTATCAGTGACCTCAAATAGCAAAATATGTGTTTGAAGAACATTACCCCTTCGATGATTTTCAATGAAATGCATTTTACTCGATTTTACAACGCATTTCCTGAAATGCCTGTAAACGGTGAAAATTCGACCTTTGACCTGACCTGTGACGTCATCAGTTTGACCGAGGTCAATGAAATTGGGTCACAAGGTAGTTCCCCGTTGGGGCTATCCAACACCGTTTACCGCTTGTCGCTATGTTGCGTGGTTCTCTAGATCTTAGGGGGGGGAGGGCCAAAATGCCCCCCCCATCAGACCGCGTTGCTCGGCAGACCCCATCAGGGCGCGGGTTAAATTGATGTAGGGGAAGCCGGGGGAAGCCCGGGCGCGGGGGAAGCCCGGCCACCCCGTTTCCGGCTACATTATTCACAATAAAATGCTCAACTGTTTGTCCTTTCAGCGTGGCAGCTAAGGTGACGCCAGCAAAAAAGTTAAGGCTGACAAAAATTGCATATTGTTTAAGTTATAGCGCAAAAATGATATTTTAAGGGTTTTTAGCTAAAAAGTGAGATATGTTGCACTGTTAATGTTATACCATACAGTACTAATATTTATACGAATGTTATGTAAGGACCGTTTAAGTGTTTGTAGTGAGGGGTGACTAGGCAGGCTGGCTTAAGTATGGCATTTTTTTCGAATATCGCTGTTCTAAAATAAAAATTAGCACATTGGGGTAACCCCGGGCGAGTGGCCAAGCTTACCCCCAACCGAGAGCAATGCCACTAAACCACTGTTGTCCATGAGATAATAGGTACTGAGCAGGTTTGGTTTACACCTAGATCAAAGATAAATTTCGAAAATAAACATGTTATCATAGACAAAGCCAGTCATGTCACTTAAGGTCAACTAGGGTCAAACTACGTTTTTGCAGATAACGCGACAGAAAATGAAGCTAGAGCTTCAAAAATGGTGTCGTTGTGTTCTTCTTCACCAGCTGAGTCGAATGATATGCAATATGATGCATTAAGGTAAAAATGAAAATAGATTTTAAGGAATTTTGCAGCGGCGCCGCCACGCTTTTATGAGCACTACGTACACCCGCATGCAGGTTAGTGGTAGGCTCAGGCACGACACCCAGGGTGGGATGAAAATTTTCCCAAGTTCCAAGGTGCTTATTTATAACATCACCAAAACCTGAAAACTCTCCGGATTCGTCCCACTGATTGTCGAGAAGTCAACATTTTCATTTAAAATAATACAAAACGAGTAAAACGAATGATCTAATAAACACCCAGCTGACCAAGGGAAAGACGGCTGTCCCTGCCGTCCCTCCCTTGGCTTCGAACCGATTGCAGTCTGCAGAATGATGTATGTAGTTACAGTTGCACTTACACTATGGGGGCCTGGGGCAGAAGCATGCCTTTCCAGCCGGCGAGTTTGTGATGGTGAAAATTTTCTTCGGGACCACCTTCATAAATAGCAATTTCGACTGTTATTTGAAAACATTTGTCCAACTATTCTGTAGTCAGATTAATCCGAAGTCCTACTTAATCCTTTTGTCTGTTTAGTCGAAATGGCTTGAATACAATAAACAAAACAAAGCAACTCAGATTCAGACTCTGTATTTTCATGTTACCTATACACTGCCTTTCTGAAGTTGTAAGACTCCTAATGGATACTAGGTCCTGCAAGGTTCATTTCCATGTGAAAGCTCCTCTGGGAGTGAGGGCGTTGAGAATTTGCGACATCTGAAGACCGTGCAGAGGTTCATTTTTGACTTCATAGGTCAGTGACCTGATCTGACCCGAAAATGCGGTTGGTGTCAACAGATCCGGCTTGATTCAAAGGTCAGGTATGCCTAGCTTCAGATCACCGGCGTGTTCGGATCTATCGCGAAAAAAAAAACTATGGAGGGGCGGCACCTGCCTCCCCCCTCGGCCGGCGAGGGTTAAGGCTCTCAGAGACCAGTACAGGGCCTGCAAAGGGCAGTTTGAGACGTTTAGATGCCGACTTGGGCCATCAGAGGCTAATGTGGGTCCTTACAGGCCATCATGGGCCCTCAGAGGTCAGTGTGGGACCCTAAAATACCTGCATGGGCTTACCGGCATGGGAAAATACCGGCACGGGATCTGAGGGCCCGCAGTGCGGGGCCCTCAGATCCCATGCCTCAGATCCCATGCTCAGAGGCACCTAAAGGTTAGTCTTGGGACCCCAGAGACAGAAATGATGTCACCAGAGGCCGGAGTGAGGCCCTCAGACGCCGGCTGGGCCCTTGAGGCCGGTTTAGGGGCCCTCAAATGCCAGTGGAGGGCCCTCAGAGGTCAATGTGGGTTCTCATCCCTCAATGTGGGCGCTTGACCGCCACTGAAGGGCCCTCCGAGATCAGTGTAGGACCCTCAAAGACTGGTATGGGAGCTGTTAATAGCTGGCGTGGGTTTCTTGAGCCTCGTGACAATCGAATAAGGGCCAGAGCCCCATACACCCATGGGGGTCCTGCCCATTGGTTGTTTGGGGGGGGGGGCAAATGATATGATGGCCCCCTGATTAGCCTTTGGAGGGGGGAAGGGCATGGTCCTGATCCCCCCTCTGCGACCGCCACTGCACTGAAAGTGCGAAGGGGGAGGGGCAGATACCCACAGACATTGCTGGCCCCCAGCCTGTTTGAACCGAGGCAGGGGGCACGGACACCCTGGCCCCCAGCTACTACGCCTGTGACGAACTATGCCGACTCCAAGCAGATCCGGTCAAGCGTTGGTCGTTTGTATACGCATTCTCCTGCACCTTACTAGTATTGTCTTATTCCTTTTCAGTGCCCGCTCATGTCCCGCGTCTCGTATTCAACAAAATGCTGCCACCAGGACTCACAGTTTTGTCTCTGATATGGTTTCCTTCATTGAGTGAAGGAAATTGCGGTCAATAACGCTGTAGGAACAAAAGGGAATCTTCATTAAAGGGCAGGTTGAATAGTCGTCAAGTTCTGGTGTTTAGGGTACCGGGTGGTAGGTACCATAGATATAAAGACTAGATAGGGCACCCCCATGTCGGGAGCGACTCGCGAATACGTAGCAGCGGCCGCCATGTTGGTGAGGGCGAGAATCTGCGGCGCTGTGTAAACACTATGGGAGGAGGGGGGTGTTTGGGACAGATTTTGTGGTATTTTTCGACCGAAAATTGTTAATCTTTTTTACCTATGGCATTCTTTGGAATGAGTAGATTGTGAAACAAGGGCAGAAACATGTGTATTTATAGTAATGTAATTACATCAGCCCTAGACATATAGCCCTGAATACGCTGATAAAGGATATGCGGCACCGAAGGTAGATGCAATTGGCATGCTAATTTAAGATTAAATTCGTTTCCCTTTATGGCTACCATACTTTATATCTATGTATGCAGTATGCAATGGACAATGATCGACAATAAGTGCAATTTTAGCCCTCACCCGTTCGTAGTTTGTCAGCGTCTTACGAGTAGGGGAAGCCAGGGTGAACGGAGTGAACTCCAGCCGTTCGCCCCTCGACGGAGCAAGAACGGAAAAAAATAGGTATGCTGTCCGCGATGTGAGTAAACCAGTGATACCAAATTTCAGGGTACTAGGTCAACGGGTGAACTCAGAGGTCAGGTCAAACACTGGAAATCGAACCAGTAAAGTCACTGGAGTTTGAGATCTTTCGCTATAAAATCGACCAAAACGCGTGAACTGTCGGCGAAATGGGTTACATCATTCCCAATCAACCTCATCTCGAAATCTAGCGAACCGGGTCACATAAGGTCATACAAGGTCAGCGACCTTAGATGACCTCGGATGGCCTTGACACATGGCGGGTCATGTGAAGTGTATTTATGGGCGCCGATCTCGAATCCCGTGTCAATCTTACTTTAAAAAATGATTTGCGGGCACAAATCCGCAAACATAATTAAGGATTACGAATAAAATGAACAAGATGCTCCGAAAACTGCCCATATGAAGCGCAGCCTTGACCTCGAGGCAAATGCACGTTATCTAGACATCAACACTAAAAAAACGCATGTAAAATGCATAAAATGCACTAGAAGGCAAGGAAATTCACCCGGATGCGGCAAATCGCAAAATCCGCTTATTTAAGCCCAACATGACCTGACCCGAGCTCCGATGACCCATTCCTCACTTTGAATCAATCCGCGCCCCCTACAGGCACCGACATCGCCCTTGCAGACAGCACCGACGATAGTCGCACAGGCACGTGGCGAGCTAGTGTAACTGTAGCCGCGCCTTCAGCCACGAACACCAGTTTGTGCCGGATCAGCCAGCCACGGAGCAGAGACGGCCGGCAACGAATCGGCAATTAACAGTGCTACATATCGACACGGTCACAAGAGGCGAGGCGTTAACCCAGCGCCCACTGCATTGGTCGCCAGTGGACCCACTCAGTCACTAAGCAATCATCGAAATACGTCTTTTATCGGCCAGACATTGATCTGCTCATTAATATGAAGTGTCCATCCAAATCCACGCTATCCGCCACACAGCAGCTATCGACGGTAGATACCCACTCCAGCGGCAGCTGGCCGCGACTCACTGACACCGGCTAGAGACAGCTGACCGCTGAAATCACCAACACTTCGGCAGGGTATGAGCGGGTCTCAGTCAGATCCCAGGCATGTAACCCGTCCCCACCTTAGCTCATCTGGCAGAGATGATGAAGAGGTGGTAAAGCTGTGTCATGTCGTCCGGCTGGATGTCGCTCACCAGGGCCTCCTGACAGGTGCTACAGCTGACAGAGTCGAGCGCCTTCTTCACCACGAACCCTGCGATGTAGGTGACGATGTTGCCCACCAGACGACAGCCCAGGCTGGAAGTCGTGCTCCGTGATGATGTGGAGTGCCGTGGCACCGTTGTCTGAGGTGGTGGAGGCCGAGGTAGTAAGGCTGGCTCCCCGTCCGCTGGTCGTGTGACCGACTGCCAGGATGCTGGTCGGGTCGAGGGCTGCCACTTTCCCTGTGCTGCCGGGCCGGACGCCGCAGCGGTGGAGCAGGTGCCGGAATATCCCGCAGAACTGTGCGGCACTGGGGTTGTTCCAGCCACCTGGAAGGTTCGATTAGTATCAATAAAATATGGCTAATAGTGTTTAGTGTTAACATACGCCAGGCACAAGTGTTGTATTTGTTGTTAACACATTGTTGACACACACGCACACGCACACACACACACGCACACACACACACACACACATGTTGGCAATGGTAAAGCAGTCTCCGGGCATTTGGTAATAATTTTTTGCACTTATTCTGGTTTTAGTGACTGATGGGCCTTTACCCACGCATGACTGGAGGGTGGGGCTCTACAGAGCCCCTCTCCTGTTTTCTGCAATAAAATATTAACATTTATATATTGAAAAAAAATTAAAATATATATTTGTTGCAATATTTCTAAACCACTAGACGTGTCAATACGAAACTTGCAGTACCTTCGGCTGCATCAATCTGAAACATTTTATAGAAATAAAAATTGTGTAGCTACCATAGGTCGGCCGTAAATGACGTCAGAGTGATCAGTGAAGTCATATTCTGCCAATTTTGATGCAAGAAATTGAACTACAGCAATCGCTCTCGGTGACAGATAACCTGTAACAATATAAAAAATCAAGAGTCTGTAGCTTTTACTTGCCAATGCAGGGTGATCTCTTGACTCTTGAGCCTCATCCCCGGGCGGTGTTTCACGGGACGCTGCTACCACGCTGCTATCAAATTGCGCGAGCTGACGTCACACTTGTGGTAGTGTTGGAGCAATGGGCCTGTTGATGTTTCCATGGAAACCCAATTTGACACGTGTAAAAGCAGCGTGCTGCTATCACCGGTGAAACAGGGCCCTGGTTTGTCAGCAATCAAATCCTGCACATCTATTTGGCATCTTGATTCTTGAGAGACAAATTTCAATTTCAAAAGATACTAGTCTTTAAAGCTGAAACATATTAACAGTTAGTCAGATCAAAACAAGGCCTGTAGCATACAAGTGTAGGATACTGGATTTGCACACAGTACACACTACAAAATACACATAGCAAACAGTGAGATTACAGTCATGGAAAAGCATCAGGTTTTTAAAATAATAGTTTACACAGACTTAAATACAAGAATTTAAATGAGCTTCAAATAAAATGAGAAGTGGAGTGAAGTACCTAACAAATAAGGGTATCCATAAATCTGGTGCCACCGTCGGCACATATAAGGTTGGTAGGTTGTAGGTGGGTAGGTTGTAGGTATGGAGGCTGTATGTAGGTTGAGGTTTGTAGGTTGTAGGTTAGTTAGGTTAGTAGGTAAGGTTAGGTCAAGTAAGATTATGATTTTTATCTTCCTGGGACTTCATATTTACTTGTTAGCACTTAGCATTGATGGTAACGCCAGATTTACTAATACCCTATTTACTGATACTGATAACAGGTGAGCCAAAAGAGCATGAAGTGTAGTTTAAGCTTTACAATGTGAAAACTAATTAGGTAATGACAATCTGAGTTTAGGTGCTCCAACTAACGCACATTTTTACGTCACCCCTGTGCTGTTCATTATTGGGATCAAATGTGTGACACGGTTCACTGGTGCAGATATCACGACGTCTGGCATTTTCACTATCTATCAGCTCTGGTTGAGGGTGAGCGTGGTATGCCACTGCACTCTGAACCCAGAGCGGATAAGAGCCCCCGAGGCATCTGGCATAGTGCATGGATTTTTCGTTTGGCACTGAACTACTATTTAATACTAACTGATGCTGATGACATTAAGTAAAGTACTTATTTAAAACCTATAATCATAAAACCTTCTTACTTCATAAATATTGTCCATTGAAGGCAACAGTAGAAAGTGAGCAGGCAAAGCAAGTGTAGTGTACGGATTTGTACGAGGGGCACACAGAAAATTATTCTTTGACGTTGGTTTTGACAGGGTAATGATGTAGGGATGAGAATTCGAGGGGAAAGTTGGACCGCCACAGACACAGGCCGGGCTTACCTTGACGTAGGTCTTGTCTCGAAGTCGTCGGTCCTGTGATTTGGTCGGTCTCACTGGTACTTCCCCGCGTAGGTTTGCCGGGACGAACCGCGTAGGTAGATCTCTCGATGTTCTCGTAGGTAGGTATCTCTTGATGAGTATATTTGTAATAGGTGAATTCAGGCACAAATCAGTCGTGAACACATATGGCTCCAACCGGTAACGGACAACGACTGCCCTCTCCGTGGCTCAGGCGGGCGGCTGCGGGCGGCCGCCAGTCACGTGGTTATCGCCCGGGGGCAGGTCAGCTGACCGGTCGCCTGACCCGCCGCCCAGCCCGGCCCAGTGTCCAACGCGTGGCGGGGGGAGGGGAGGAGCCGGTAGGAGAGGGGGAGGTAGAGTGGCTGGTTTTTAGTGTTTTGCAAAGGAATTTCCACACCCTCCCACGGACTGATGCTAAACAGGGTTTAGCATTCGTTTGACAGTTTGATTAGATGCTGCCTGATTGTAGCAGGGACTTGACCATCTCGGTTTGCTTGATGGCTGCCCTTCTTCGTGGAGGTCTCGCAGCCCTCTCTGAGGTCTCTGGGCTTGACTCGGTCTCGGTGTTGTGCGTAGTCGGCTCATCAGGGCACCTGGTGCTGCCATTTGTGCTGTCTTGACCTGTGTGGGTACTCTGTAGCTCCAGCGGGTAGAGGTGCGATATGGCGTAGCGTTCAGTGCGTCCTGTGCTCGTCTTCAAGAGCACTTGGCGCACACGCCCGTCATCTCCATGCAGAAGCTGTAGGACTCTTCCCATTAGCCAGAACATTCTAGGCTTATTCTTGGTGTTGATGAGGACGACATCACCGACAGCAATCTTGTCATCCCAGTCTACGTGGAATAGGTCTCGCGAATTCTCGCGTAGACCAAGCAAGTACTCACGGTACCACATGTTCTTGTAGTGCTCTTGAAGATGTTGCTGCTCGTGCAGGGTTTTGTTGAGTTGTTGGTGAACATCTTGAGGCGTCGAAACCCACAGCGGGTCAGTTGCGTGTGAACTGTCCACCAGCTGGAGTCTCGGGTTTGTGTGTAGCTTGAGTATTTTGTTGGGTGTCAACGGCTCGATATCATCAATCTCACTGTAGACGTAAGTGATCGGTCGGCTATTAACCATGTTTTGTATCTCGCTGAGCTGTGTGAGGAGCTCGAAGTAACCAAGTTTGGCTCTTCTTACTGTCTTGTATAAGCAGTGCTTTACCGTCTTGATTTGTCTCTCGTAGACTCCGCCAACCCAGCTGGCGTAAACTGGGATGGTGCTGTGCTTGATGCTTTGTTCAGTAAGATATTCTTGAAACTCGTCTGATGTGAATACATTGAACAATACCCTCTGGCTTGCAAGGAACTGTTTAGCGTTGTCGGTATACAAGAACTCTGGCACGCCGTATGTGCTGCAGAATCGTCTGAATGACTGCAGGAACGAACCCAGGCTTAAGTCGGGGACAAGGTCGAGATGTACACAGCGAATGGCAAGGCAGGTGTACAGTACAATGTACATCTTCCTCATCTCTCCATTCGTGTCTTCAACATAGATGTGTCCAGTGTAATCGATTGCTGTGTTGCAGAATGGCTTGATCAGACTGACTCGTTCTCTTGGGAGGTTCGTCATCTTCGGGTACTCGAAAGCCAACGCGTTCAGCTTCTGACACGTGATGCAGTCCTTCAGAACTCGCTTGACGACTTGACGACCACTTGGGATCCAGTACCCGTGCTCTCGCAGTTCTGTGAGCGTCGTGCCGACTCCCAGATGTTTGCATCGTCGGTGTTGATCTTCAATCATGAGCGTTGTCAGCCGATGGGTTTTATCCAGGAGAATGGGATTGTGTACAGCGTATGAGTATCGGTTGAGTTTCGACAAGCGTCCTCTGCATCTTAGCAGACCTGACTTGTCTATGAAGACATTCAATTCCTTCACCAGCTTGGGTACTGAGGCTGAGTTGAATAACTTGTTCTCTTGTTTGTCTTGCAGGTAGCTGATCTCTTCAGTGAACGCATTCTCCTGCATCACCTTCAACCAGTAGTGTGTTGCTTGCTCCTTGGCATCAGCCTCCCTGTGCTTCAGCACGTTCACGAAGCGAAACACTCGAGCCGTCACCCCATGCAGTCTTCGAAGAGAAGAGAAGTCCTTGATGCTGAGAATAGTCTGAGTCGCGGGCGTTTGTGCTTCAGTGTTGAGCTCCACCTGTTGATGATGTTGTTGGAGCTCAACCATGACTTTCCCTTCTTCCGACAGGCAGTGAAGAGGACTCTTGGGCCACTGCTCAGGATGATCTCCCAGCCAGTCTGGTCCGTGACACCAGACGGCCAGCTTCTTGTGGAACTCCTTCGCAGACAGGCCCCGTGTGAGCATGTCAGCCACGTTGCTGTCAGTAGAAACGTAGTGATGAGTGACTTCAACTTGATGCTGATGATGGAGCTTCAACTTCATGGCTGTGATGTCTTCAAGACGGTTTGCAGTGAACTTGCTTTTTGACTTGCATCCAGATGCAAGCCACTCGAGCACCACCTGTGCGTCACTCCAGAGACGCACGTGACGGATGGAAGCGTTGATGGAGTCGATGATGAGTGGCAGGCACTTCAGAGCGAGGAACACCGCCAGCAGCTCCATCTGTGGTATGCTTCTGTTATCTGGTGCGAGCTTGCTTTTGGCAAAGACCAGTTGAGGGTCTGAGCCCTCCTGCTTCAGATAGCAAGCGAACCCGTAGGATGTCTTGCTCCCGTCGCAGAAGAGATGGAGGTCTGTTGGTTGGCCACTTTCAGTGTCACCGGTTTCTCTTGAGAACTGGAACTCACGCAAAGACAGGAGATCCTTCTTCAGTCGCTGCCACTCGGCTAGCACAGCCGGCGACACGTCTTCGTCCCATGCTGTCCCTTCGGTCCACACCTGCTTCATGAGGATTCTTCCCCTGATGGTGACTGGCAGTGCAAGAGACAGCGGGTCGAAGACCTTACTGATGTTGCTCAGAAGTTGACGTTTTGTGATGCCCTGTTGGTTTTCTTCGAAGTTGAAGTCGGATAGTGATATTGTATCTTGTTTGGCGTCATACAAGTATCCCAGCACCTTCTCTGTGACGGCGCCGTGCTCGTTGACCATGTTGTCAGACATCATGATGTCGACAAGTGGAGAGAAGTTGGACATCCAGCTCCTGAGGTTGAAACCTCCCTCTTTCATAATCTGGGTGGCGTCGCGGTAGATGTCTAGAAGTTTTCCTTCGTCGGATGTCGAGAATATGAAGTTGTCCACGTACAGCGACTCCTTGAGCGCTGTAGCCGCCATCATTGTCGAGTATTTCGACAGATGAATCTGGATGATGTGGCTCAAAATGAACGGTGAGCAGTTGAGGCCAAAGAGGATGGTACGGAAGCGGTACATCTTCAGACCGTCATCCGTCTCCCAGAGGAAACAGAACTTGTCCTTGTCCTCTTCGTACTTCAGATATATTTGCAGAAACGCCTTCTCGATGTCAGCAAGAAGAATGTGCTTGTTTGTGCGGAACCTCATCAAGAGGGTGACCAGGTCGTTCAGCAGGTCGACACCTCTGAAGCAGGCTTCGTTGAGTGATGGACGATCTCCGATCTTCAAACTGCAGTTGAAGACTGGACGGATTTTTGTAGTGGTTTGTGCATCGGTTTTCACCACAGGGTGATGCGGGATGAACACCCTCTGGTTGGTACTTGGTTTGTTGTAATCGACCTCTTCGATTATGCCGTCTCGGAGTTGCTGCTCGAAGACTGCGGTGTATGAATCTGCGAGGCCGCGTTTGGCGAGCTTGTTTCGCACCTTCTTCATTGTCGCGAGAGCTACGTCGTGGTTTCCAGGAACCTTGGTGACGCTGTCGTAGAACGGCACCTTGACGAAGTACTTGCCGTCCCTCAGCTCCACCTCGTTGGAGAATTCCTCCACCAGTCTGCGCTCTCGAGCCGAGACACTTTCATCTGTCTCTCGGATGCCAAGGCTCTCGATGCTGAAGAGATGCTCAAGCTGGAGATCCACGTCACTGTCACTTGATACGTGGGCCAGTGGGTGGAAGTATGAAGTTTTAGGATGTAGTGTTGCCTGCACCAACAGATGTGTCGATGTCTCACCTTCCTGTTTCCCACGTGTAGATCTATCTGGAACAGGGAGATCGGCTGTTGAGTTTTTGAGACGTTGTCTCGAGTTTGTTGTTTTGTTTGTTTGCGTTTGAGTTTGTTGTTCGACTGCCCCCTGACGGAGGACTTGTGGTTGTTGTTCGACGGTAGAGTGTGTGTCGGTTTGAGTTTGTGACTCAGCTGTGTCCGAACTGAGTGTTTGTGTGTGTTGTTCGTTTGTAGCATCTGCTTGAGTTTCTTTGTCTGTCAACTTCGCTTCCATGTTGACTGGTCGCTTGATGTCCGTGCCTTGTAGCATGCAGGAGTCTCCTTGCTGAGACCTGTTGCCACTGTTTTGAGTGCTGCGTTTGACGCTGTTGATGTTTGAGTTGTTTGTGTTCACGTTGCCTGGTAGTGGTGACGACCGTCCACCGGAACCGTTGTCATCGCTCCGAGAACTGTCTCCGCCATCGTCTTCTTGCTCGTTTGAGTCGCTCGGTCCACCTTCACCATGAGCTTCGTCTGTACCTTCATCATGTTCAGTGTTCTCTTTCAGGTTCAGCTGCTCGAAGTATCCGTCGACGCTTCCGAAGAGGATGAGGCCGTCCTGTACCTCGAAGGCAGTACCTGTCCCAAGATTTACACTTCTCATGGGCTTGATTGCACCGATGATGTCCGCTCCTAGCAGACATTCGAAGCCACCGATGACGTCGTTGGTGCTGTGACTGAAGAACGAGTCGGCCAGACGCACTCCTTGGGCTCTCAGGAACTGCACCAGGGACGTCACGCCAGGGATCTCGTACTCCAGACTCATTTCCGGATCAACCAGGAAGCAGTGGTGGGCCGAAGCGGTTGGAGTGAAGATGATGTCGGACGTAGCCGTTCTGTAGTTCTTTTCCTGTACGCCGATGCACGTTTTGACTTTGTATGTTGTCTTGGGTGCCTCCAGTGGACAACCAAGCTTCACTGCCAACTCTTCGCTGATGTATGACGCTTGTGAGCCCACATCTATCATGCATCGAACCAGCTCACTTCTTCGCCGTTGTGCATGATGACCGTCAAGGACGGGAGGAGGACCGTCTGGCCCTTTTGTAGACTGTTGCAGATCAGACGCATTCCACTTTGCAGTGGCGTGGTCTCTCCAGGTTTGACGACACACACTGCTGATATGTGTTGCTTGCTGCCACACAGCGTGCAGGGATACGAGAGACCTGATGTCTGGCTTTTGCAGTCCGTCAGCTTGTGGGATCCACTGCATTTTGTGCAGAGTTCCAGGTCTTTGAGGCGTTGGATTCGTGTTCGAGGTGATGTGTACGCTGAACACTTCAGCATGGAGTGTGCACCTTCGCACAGCTTGCACGCCTTGAACTTCGATGTGGAATGACTGGGAGTCTTCTTGATCGGCTCGGCACTGGTTTGGAATCGTTGTAGTGACGACTTCGCTGGTTTGGCTGAGCCGGCGACCTCTGTTGTCTTGAGCTGTTTCGGCTTCGACGAGAGGTCCGTGGTGTGTTTTGTTTCTTGCTTTGCAGGTGTCGTCTTCATCAACGACTTGATCACGGCGTTGAAGTTCTCGAGCAGTTGTCTTGTAGAAGGGTAGTCAGTGTGCAGGATTGCGCTCAACTTTACCTTGAAGTTCACTGGGAGTTTTTCGCAGATGATGAAGCTGACAATTTTGCTTCCAAGAGTTCCGTCTTCGAGTGCGTCGTATCCAAACGCCTTGAGTTCATACACAGAGGTGCGAGCAGTATTAAAGAACGCGCGCAGCGCTGGCAGATCTCTTGCAGGTGGTGGGGTTAAGTCGTGGAGTTTCCTGATATGTGCCTCCACGATGACATCAGTGTCGAGATATTCCTCGGTTAGGAACTTTCTTGCGATGGTGTAGTTTTTCTCTTCAGTTGACAAGTGTTTGATGGTATCTAGCGCGTTCCCACGCAGATAACTCTTCAAGTACATCAGCTTAGCCGATTGATTGTAGGCCGAGTTGTTGCCGATGAGATCGTCGAACATCTTGAGGAAATCGTTGAACGACATCACATCATCTTGCGTTCCGGAGAACAGCGGCATCTTGAGCTTCTGGATCTCTGGCTGTTTGATGTTCTGCTCGTTGGTTCCGGTTTCCTCCTTGACATTCTTCATGGTCTCATTGTTGAAGCTGAAGAAGGCTTTCTTCGTGGTTGAGAAGATGTCATACATCTCGTCCATCCAGGTATCTTCCTTCTCCATCTCCTGTTCAGATGAGAGCAGCGAAACGTAGTCATTGTGCTTCCGTTCGACATCGGACCACGCTGTCTGCAACTCTCCCCAGCAGTCTTGGACTAGGCTTGGTTCAGCCTTGTCTGTGATGTGCCGTAACAGGTTTCTGTTGATTCTGGAGAACGAACGCTTACTGTTCGCTCGAGCGTTCCGAAGCTTCTCCATGGTTGCAGGGTAGTGATACTAGATGAGGCGACAGCAGGCTGGACGCTGATGACCAGACTGCAGCAGAGTCTTGACGTTGATGAAGCGACTGCAACAGGGTACTGACGCTGAAGACCAGACTGCAGCAGGATCTTGACGTTGGTGAAGCGACTGCCGCAGGTTGCTGACGCTGAAGACCAGACTGCAGCAGGATCTTGACGTTGATGAAGTGACTGCAGCAGGGTGCTGACGCTGAAGACCAGACTGTAGCAGGATCTTGACGTTGATGAAGCGACTGCAGCAGGGTGCTGACACTGAAGACCAGACTGCAGCAGGATCTTGACGTTGATGAAGCGACTGCAGCAGGTTGCTGATGCTGAAGACCAGACTGCAGCAGGATCTTGACGTTGATGAAGCGACTGCAGCAGGGTCTTGATGTTGAAGCGACTGCAGCAGGGTGCTGACGCTGAAGACCAGACTGCAGCAGGATCTTGACGCTGATGAAGCAACTGCAGCAGGGTGATGACGCTGAAGACCAGACTGCAGCAGGATCTTGACGTTGATGAAGCGACTGCAGCAGGGTGCTGACACTGAAGACCAGACTGCAGCAGGATCTTGACGTTGATGAAGCGACTGCAGCAGGGTGCTGACGCTGAAGACCAGACTGCAGCAGGATCTTGACGTTGATGAAGCGACTGCAGCAGGGTCTTGATGATGAAGCGACTGCAGCAGGGTGCTGACGCTGAAGACCAGACTGCAGCAGGATCTTGACGTTGATGAAGCGACTGCAGCAGGGTGCTGACGCTGAAGACCAGACTGCAGCAGGATCTTGACGTTGATGAAGCGACTGCAGCAGGGTGCTGACACTGAAGACCAGACTGCAGCAGGATCTTGACGTTGATGAAGCGACTGCAGCAGGGTGCTGACGCTGAAGACCAGACTGCAGCAGGATCTTGACGTTGATGAAGCGACTGCAGCAGGGTCTTGATGTTGACGAAGCGACTGCAGCAGGGTGCTGACGCTGAAGACCAGACTGCAGCAGGATCTTGACGTTGATGAAGCGACTGCAGCAGGGTGCTGACGCTGAAGACCAGACTGCAGCAGGATTTTGACGTTGATGAAGCGACTGCAGCAGGGTGCTGACACTGAAGACCAGACTGCAGCAGGATCTTGACGTTGATGAAGCAACTGCAGCAGGGTGCTGACTCTGGAGACCTGACTGCAGCAGGATCTTGACGTTGATGAAGCGACTGCAGCAGGGTGCTGACGCTGAAGACCAGACTGCAGCAGGATCTTGACGTTGATGAAGCAACTGCAGCAGGGTGCTGACACTGGAGACCAGACTGCAGCAGGGCCTTGACGTTGATGAAGCGACTACCGCAGGGTCTTGATGTTGACGAAGCGACTGCAGCAGGGTGCTAACGCTGAAGACCAGACTGCAGCAGGATCTTGACGTTGATGAAGCGACTGCAGCAGGGTGCTGACACTGAAGACCAGACTGCAGCAGGATCTTGACGTTGATGAAGCGACTGCAGCAGGGTGCTGACTCTGGAGACCTGACTGCAGCAGGATCTTGACGTTGATGAAGCGACTGCAGCAGGGTGCTGACGCTGAAGACCAGACTGCAGCAGGATCTTGACGTTGATGAAGCAACTGCAGCAGGGTGCTGACACTGGAGACCAGACTGCAGCAGGGCCTTGACGTTGATGAAGCGACTACCGCAGGGTCTTGATGTTGACGAAGCGACTGCAGCAGGGTGCTAACGCTGAAGACCAGACTGCAGCAGGATCTTGACGTTGATGAAGCGACTGCAGCAGGGTGCTGACGCTGAAGACCAGACTGCAGCAGGATCTTGACGTTGATGAAGCGACTGCAGCAGGGTCTTGATGATGAAGCGACTGCAGCAGGGTGCTGACGCTGAAGACCAGACTGCAGCAGGATCTTGACGTTGATGAAGCGACTGCAGCAGGGTGCTGACGCTGAAGACCAGACTGCAGCAGGATCTTGACGTTGATGAAGCGACTGCAGCAGGGTGCTGACACTGAAGACCAGACTGCAGCAGGATCTTGACGTTGATGAAGCGACTGCAACAGGTTGCTGACGCTGAAGACCAGACTGCAGCAGGATCTTGACGTTGATGAAGCAACTGCAACAGGTTGCTGACGCTGAAGACCAGACTGCAGCAGGATCTTGACGTTGATGAAGCGACTGCAACAGATTGCTGACGCTGAAGACCAGACCGCAGCAGGATCTTGACGTTGATGAGTCAGCTTCCTCTGTCAGGCTAGCTCACAACTTCCCTGAGATCAGCTGGTCAATTCTCATTGATCCTTACACTTGAGGTTAGACGACAATTCTATGCAGTTTGATAACAGTTGATATTGAGGTTTTAACAATCTTGCAATCAGTGACAGATTGAGTAACTTGCACTGTGCAGCTCAGTTTAAATATGGCTGTTTCAGTTTATTTCTATCTGTTTCGTCAAGTTCAACTTTAACCCAGTTCGGGGGCAAAGCACAGTTTTCTGCGTCCAAATCACAGTTTTTCTATGTACGGATTTGTACGAGGGGCACACAGAAAATTATTCTTTGACGTTGGTTTTGACAGGGTAATGATGTAGGGATGAGAATTCGAGGGGAAAGTTGGACCGCCACAGACACAGGCCGGGCTTACCTTGACGTAGGTCTTGTCTCGAAGTCGTCGGTCCTGTGATTTGGTCGGTCTCACTGGTACTTCCCCGCGTAGGTTTGCCGGGACGAACCGCGTAGGTAGATCTCTCGATGTTCTCGTAGGTAGGTATCTCTTGATGAGTATATTTGTAATAGGTGAATTCAGGCACAAATCAGTCGTGAACACATATGGCTCCAACCGGTAACGGACAACGACTGCCCTCTCCGTGGCTCAGGCGGGCGGCTGCGGGCGGCCGCCAGTCACGTGGTTATCGCCCGGGGGCAGGTCAGCTGACCGGTCGCCTGACCCGCCGCCCAGCCCGGCCCAGTGTCCAACGCGTGGCGGGGGGAGGGGAGGAGCCGGTAGGAGAGGGGGAGGTAGAGTGGCTGGTTTTTAGTGTTTTGCAAAGGAATTTCCACAGTAGGTAATGAGTCTGCTTTCCGCTGCCAATGTTCTGGTACCTACCTATTTAGGTACCTAAGCTTTCTTTGTGAAAAATCATATGACTGATGCTCTATCCATGCAAGAATAATTAAAGGATTGTGGTGTGCACAAAAAAAAACATGGGAACTGAATTAAATCTAAAACAGGCATGCCAAGCAAATCTACCTTTGGTGCCGCCTATTCTTCATCAGCGTCAACAGTGCAACATGTCTAAGGCTAACGTAGCCAAATTACAATAGATAAGCATATTTCAGCACTTGTTCCACAATCTACACATTCCAAAGAATGCCGTGAGCAAAA